TTTTTTATTATAATTATTAAAATGAAACAAATTTCTATCTGCATTTAATAATACAACTAGCATGAAAATGAGAAGCTAGTAACAGTAGATGACTTGGAGTAAGGGAACAGAGTGTCTACAGTTCAATGCAAGAAAAGAAACACATTTTACCATAAGCCTTTTACATATTTTGAATTTATATTCCCTGTTTTAAAAATAAATAAAATTTAAAATATTTCTTAGCTATAGGTTTTTTAATTTCTTTTTCTTTCTACTAGTTGTTTAATGAACTTGTTCAAGAGCAAGGTCCTAACTTAGATAGGACATCCGCCCATGTCAGTGGCATTAAAGAATTGGCACGTCGCTTTGCCCTTACGTTTGGACTGGACCAGATCAAGACACGAGAAGCAGTTGCCACACTTCACAAGTGAGTGAGATAAACAGAAATGGTTTACTGGCATTTAATTGAAATAATTGTTATTTGGCCCATTTTTAAAGTGACAATTGGTAGAATTTTAAAATTATGAGAACTTTAGACATTGTCTAGTTCAGAGATTCTAAACTAGGAGGGCATTTTTAATATGGAAAAAAATTACTTAAACCACCCATTTTTTTTTCATCTTCTAAAATATAGAAAGGAAAGTTTAATAACATTCTTGTCTGGTCTATAAGTAAAAAAAATGTGGGAGACATGGGCTTAAAAAACTATCCAATACTGATTTGTTCAGTCTTACTTTATAAATGAAAACAATAAACAGAAAACCTTAAGTAAACTTACACAGCTGCTTGATACCATGACCAGCTACAAGAAACAGATTTTCTGACAGCCTAATTATCTTTCCAAGGTATAGTGTTGCCCCTAAAAAATACAAATAGAAATTTAGCTTTGTTGCTATGTATCTATTTTTTTATTTTACACAACTTACAGTTTTGTACTATAAATAACAACATTAAAATATATGTAAATATGTCAGGGCCAGCCCAGTGGCGCACTGCTACAGTGCGCTGCTTGGGAGNATATATGTAAATATGTCAGGGCCAGCCCAGTGGCGCACTGCTACAGTGCGCTGCTTGGGAGCGCAGTGGCGCTCCCTCTGAGGGTTCGGATCCCACATACAGACCGGTTCCTGCTCACTGGCTGAGCGAGGAGCGGGCGCAGCACCGAGGGGTGCCCTCCCCCTC